TAAAAAAAAACGCACAGCAGATTATCAAAAGAAGATATATAGGTATCACGTGTAAAATGTAAGTGATCAGCAAAGAACAGCGTAGATTAGATATTTAGATTATCTAGGTCATCTCAGTGAAAATAAGCGTATGAAAACTAAGTAAGTCGCGAAAAAGACCTTCACTTTTTTAACTAGCAAAAAAGCTATAATCATCATATGCTCCTTTTTTTAGATTATATAACTCGGGATTCGAAACTATTATGGACAATAATAAAATCAGGTCGCAAGCAGCCTCCATAAAAAAATGTTTAATTAAATTAAGAAAACTTATATATTTTCCAAGCTATGTGAATCGATTTGTCCAAACGCGCGGCGGCTCAGAGAGAGAGAGAAAAACACGGAACGACGATGTAAGGTACAGGACTCGACACACGGCATTATGTTACATCTATTTGATCCGATATCTTATTATCTATGTGATTTCTAGTTATTTCTCCTTAGAACAATATAGCTTATTCTTGATGACCTATCAGTTTTTCCACATGATGACTTTCATTGATATAACTACCATCAGCAAGGCATATTGCTATTCTAATATAACAGCAAATATCTTAAATCTGAATAATAATTGAATCTGAATATTATTTAAAAGTCACAGAAAAACAAATATATAGATAAGACTAGCCTATACTCCCTACACACACACAAAAGTATATGAGAAACTTCAGGTCCTCCATGATCAACCATGAAACTCAAGTTTAGCTTATATTTCCTTATGTTATATTTACTGTTCCGACCTATATCAGGCTATAATTAACCTTTTGACCTTATTAAGTGTATATGTCAATTACTCATCAAGTTATACATATATATACGATCATATCGCACGTGATACATCCGTGTACATAGTACTACCATTTAGGATCCCTGTCTCACTGCACTACAATTTTCGTCTATCCGCAGTAACCTCCCCTTCATACCCATTCCTGTACCTTACATCGTCCTAATTATGTAGATTATAACATTTTTATTTCATATTGATTGTTTTTTCATTAGGGACCCGCAGGGTGTGGGTTTTCCAAAGATTATCTCATGATCAAGGGCATGCATTAAAAAACAGTTTCCAATACATATAAAGTTAAGCAATTATAAATAAATTACAAAATTTATCGCTAAGAAATTCCAGAATGAATACCACCGAAAAATGAAGGGTACAACATGTTATATTTCGTTAATGATACCATAAAATCAATTGGGTAACTTGGAAGCTGTGCGATAAAATGTTAGTGTTACAAAGTTTGAAATAACAAAAGTATTCCTCTTTTCACTCTCGATGACGTTATTTCTGCATATTATCGAAATCCCGATAAGAGATGAAAGCAGAGAGAACACTTGTATGTAGGTAGTTGGGGTATAGAAATTACCCTTGGGTTAAGAATTTGACTCAAAGGTTCTGTTTAAATTAAATTGTACAACCAATGGTGAATTTTCTCTATCCTTGATATATACATATGATAGACTATATCAAAAATGCTATGACTGTCATTTTCGTCATGCAGGTACATAATGTGATCATGCAATGTTAATGTTGAAACGTCTGAATACCTGTGATAGAATATGAAAGCTTAAAACCGGAATGTGTGGTACTGCCATCAGATGTAAACCTGATTGTAACGCTCTCACTTGGTATTATATGTTCCGATGTAGTCACAACGTACTTTTCTGTGCTTGACAAACCTACACAGCAACAACAAAGAGAGACTATGAAATTTACCAAGAAATTATCAGTATACAAGTATATATTGCGTACCATTAAAAGGATAGAGGAAAGGCATGGACAATTTGTAAACAATCTAATAATAATGTTTGTTTTTTATAACTGAACTAACCGTACTAATTTGCTGTTTCGTATAATTTTTAGAAATACCTTTTAAGTAATCTATAGGTACGAACTCTTTTCAATATACATTGGAAATTTGAATTGTATTTATTCCTACTTTTTCAAAATTGTTTATAGTAGAATCCCATTTAACATAAATATAGATAAAAAAATATTTATTTTAAAACAGTTATGAAACAAGTTATATAACTTATATTATTCTCTCTTGTGTGCCCGAATGTAACTGCGCAGGGATCTTAATGTTTGGGGACATCGGAGTACCCTGGAAAACCCAAAGTGGTCGGGCAGGTGACCTCATACCTGTTCACGTCCGATCGGGGATTCGATCCCCGGCCGCCTTGGTGAAAGGCGAGTGAGTTATCCGCAGTGCCACCCGACCACCCGACCACCCGACATATATAATTGATATATGGACATTGCTGTTTTATGCATTAGTTATATTTGTTTTGTTAGTAAGTGGTTATATTTTAATGAATAGGTTTAACAAACAGGCTAGACATACCGTATCGAAGTCGAAGTTTGTCGTTCTCCTGTTCTAAGTCAAGGAGTTTGACATCAATACGTATCAGACCGCAACCAGCAGGGTTCCGAATTGTCCCGGAGCAATTCAGATCACTGGCATATAAAGATAATGTGTAAATAATCAATAATCTGCCTCACTACAATATCACAAATATTAGAAAAATAAATGTTGACAGTTATCATGCAAAACATTTCGAACACCTGCCATACTAAATCGTATGAATAACTGCATACAAGATGATGAGGATAACTAACAAACAAGAACAATTCATATTACTGTTATAAATAATTTCAGATGACTATCACAAAAACTATCAGATAACGGTCAAGGTAAAACAATCAGATAACGTTCTTTCAAAAAACAAATCCGATCGCTGTAAAACAAAAATATTTAGAAACCAATCATATGAGAGCAGTTCAGTCAATTGTAATAGAAACCAATTCAGACTTTTGTCATAGATTAGTTTAGCTAGTTAAATAGTGCAAAGTAGAATTTTTATTATGTTTGTATTGACCTTATATCTCTTAAATAGCTGCGTAACAGCGGCCACAAAAATAAACTAAAACTACACATACACTGTTTCAGCCATACGGGCCTAGCGATCAAAATTCAATAAGGAAATTCAGAGGGATCCTAAAGCATGTGTGTTTAAAACAAATATTCGACCTCTTTTAACTGAAACAATAGTCATACATACTCAGCGTAGTGATAAGGAAATCCTGGTGAAGCGATGAACTGTTCAGTGAAGCTGGCATTTAACGTCACACCCGACCTCCTGCATAGGTCGGTTGTCCTCTGACAATCTGTAACAGTGATCACAATTGGTCAATCATGAGCAATGAAAATTAAGAGCGATCATGTCCGGTTATCTAATAACTTCTTTAACACTTATAAATATTTCAAACTTCGATGTAATAGTTCATAACCATTTTTGATTCCCTTGAGTTGAGTAGACTAAATACCGTATAAAAAGANCGTAACAGCGGCCACAAAAATAAACTAAAACTTCACATACACTGTTTCAGCCATACGGGCCTAGCGATCAAAATTCAATAAGGAAATTCCGAGGGACCATAAAGCATGTGTGTTTAAAACAAACATTCGACCTCTTTTGACTGAAACAATAGTCATACATACTCAGCGTAGTTATCAGAAAATCCTGGTGAAGTGATAAACTGTTCAGTGGAGCTGGCATTTAACTTCACACCTGGCAACCCCAAGCATGGGCCGGGTGTCCTCTGACAACCTGTAACAGTGATAACAATTGGTCAATCATGAGCAATAAAAATTCAGAGCGATCATGTCCGGTTATCTAATAATTTCCTTAACATTTCAATGTAATAATTCAGAATATATCAGGTATTTGATTCTCTTGAGTTGAGTAGACTAAATACCGTTTAAAAAGGATGGATGGATATAAACGGCATATACCGTAGTATGCACGCTGTTGGCAACGAGTATATTCTTTTTGAAGCTCTAATGCATACCATAGTAAAAGCCCGTATTCAACGCATTTTCCGATTTAATTTTCTTAATAAATCATTAGTATTAGTTAACATTCAAAGGATAATTCAACGTGTGTAACACAACTTAATTGGTTTATTTAATTAAAGTTCCGCTTTTGACTTTTTTTTGAAAATGATCCTTTTAAAATACCGTAAAACCGCAATATAATACCCCTCGTTTAATTTTCTAGCTTGTCCCGTCAACATATTTCACCGTCCCTTCTTTTCGTTTTCCTTTATACAGTTCCCTCAATTTATTGCCGAGCCCCTTTATAATAAATATTTATATACTATTAACTGCTAACCCTTTTGACTTCAGTGCAATTCTAATTGGGTACACATACGCAAACAAAAGCCTTGAAACTTGAAAAAAGTTCATAACCATTCATTAAGATTAATTTTACAAAACTTTTTAGACATTTGTATACACGGAGCATAACTTTGTATACATTAGTAATGCCGAGCGTGAATTTCCTTCATACTCATTATCTTATCGCTGAAAACATCAATAACCTCTTAATCACGCATTTATCTAGAACGGATTTAGACGTTTTTATTTAGACATTATTTCCATGCCTTTATTTAGACTGGATAATCACGCCTTTATTTTGGCAGGATTTTCACGCCAAACAAAGTTTGGGGACATATTGTTTCTGCTCCGTTTCTTTTTATTCCTATTCTTATTATTTTAGTTTCTTCAACTTTCTTCCGCCGACGAGGTTTCCGACATGTTTCTCAAAAATCGTAGGGCGGAATTCAACGAAATTTTACATGAGTGTTCGCGTCTGACAGGCGGTGCACAAAATTATTTTCTTTTTTCGATCGGTCATCCGACTGGTCAGCCGGACGGCGGCCTCTGATTGGTCGACATTGTTTGATTTTGATGAAAGTTGGTTTATAGGGGTATTATGGGACTGCAAATTCAATCGCATACGTTTCGTTGCCATTGCAACCACACAGAGGCTTCTGATTTGTCGAAATTTAGATATTTTTTCGATTTTGTTGAAATTTTTTATATAGGGGTATTAGGGGACTGCAAATTCAATCGCATACGTGTCGTTGTCATAGCAACCACACAGAGAGGATTCTGATTGGTCGCAATTTAGAAATTGCTCAATTTCACTCAAATTTAGTATGTACATTGTAGTTGTACTATGGCAATGCAATCATTTTCTGATGCATCTTTGCGACTATTGGGGCAGTCTGGGGGACATCTGTAATGGTCCCCCCATCACAATTAGTACTTGTATAGGTAGGTTTTCCATGCCTATATTTAGACAGGCGAACCACACATTTATTTAGACAGAAGAACCACACTTTTATTTAGACAGGAGAACCACACTTTTATTTAGACAGGAGAACCACACATTTGTTTAGACAGGAGAACCACCACACTTTTATTTAGACAGGAGAACCACACTTTTATTTAGACAGGAGAACCACACTTATATTTAGACAGGAGAACCACACCTTTATTAAGACATGATAATCAAGCCTTGTTATTTATTCAGTTTTTATGTATTGTATCACTGGATTGAGTGACAAACATTAAAACGATTAAGCTATTGTTGTTTTGCGTAAAAATTGTTGTAAGCGTATAATAAGTTAATGCAAAATAAACCAAATATTTATATTCATTATCTTATATACTAAGTTTCAATTGGAGAGGTTCTCTTCGGAATTCATTCTTTTAAAATTATTCATATGTAGTTTTTTTCATCTCCGTTTATTGAATGTGTTTCTCATGTCTTATCTGTGGTTGATGCATCTTTTTAGTTCCTGTATAATTTGCAATATAACTTTATTTAAAATAAACGTGTGTCGACGATATTAAATAAGATGCCATTTATGTTATCAAAGTAACCTTTAGCATCTTTACACGTGGATCATTGTACGAAACTATAAGCACTTATGTAAATTTCACGGATGTTAATGTACTCAAAGTGGTCATAAAAAGGCCACATTTTAAGTATGTGTGCTACATTATGATACTAATTCAAGTGCTACTCACAGGCGACGCGGCAATACATGTATGATAGGAAAGAAAATGCACAGCCAGACCGGGATTTGAACCTGAGACCTCCGAACTCTAGACGAACGCTTTCTCTTATTGAGCTTCCTGTACTAGTCGGCGGTGATTACCCCTGCCTGGCTCTTTCGTATATTTCCCCTTCCTCTTCCTTAGTTATCGCTCCTGGAGACAACACTATTTTCAATATTGCTTACGGTATCCCCTTATCAGTGTTTGAAAAAAGGGTTGGTCACAGGTACCACAAAAAAATGAGAAAGCTGCAGGACAAAAGTGGGAGTTAAATCCGGGGACTTTGGATCTCTAGACGTTTGTTCTAAACATTTAAGTGACCTGATCGCCGGCAATCAACCCAGTCCAGTTACGATATATAGATATCGGTAACATGAGTACTGTCCTGTACATATATTGTTACGTTTTATCTGATTTTTACGGCCACGGAACACTATCAGGTTTGTTTGTTTTGGGTTTTACTTCCTTACAACAGCTAAGGGAAATCAAGACCGATGATTTGGGCTACGATACCGACAAACTTAAAACATCCTTTCCCGAGACACTGCATGCCTATTCTGTCATGGGCGAGGTTGGAATTTCTGGTGTTCACATGTTGCTTCGTATCATTGGTATGTTGGTTTAAGTTTATCTAGCCTGAAACCAGCTAATCAATAAAGTCACGTGATTTAGATGGCCAGGTATGGAAGTGGCAATGACAGACATGTACTAGTAATAACAAATTGCAATCATCTTCGGGAGATGCAATGAGCTCATATTTTTCACTAATGGTATAATCGTGCACTACAGTGTAAAGGTAGCCCCCTTACACTTTATTATAGTTGTTAAAACACGTTTCTGGAATATTTGCGTTTTCCGCATATAAATTGTTTCCGTCCGCAGACTTTGTTTCAAATCAATTTTAGTAACACGAAATTGGCGATAAGCGAACATAGGATGATCTCATATCAAACCTGCTCGGAAATAACACTAACACTTGTTTCCGTCTGCCGGCCATTGTCACATTACCGAGAACGTATATTATAGTTTCTACATCGTTTAGAATATTTACAATCGACCCAATGTAATACTAACACAACCAGGTCAAGGTTATATAGAATACACAACGCATGCAAAAATAACTTTAATTACATTTTGTTATACAGTCGACCAATACAGACATTATTAGCTTTAAAGTATATGATAAATATAATAAACATATGAGCGTGCATCATGGTGAAATATATCACGAGAGTAAACAAATGCTTGGAAAAAATTAGCGAACTCTAATTAGGCCAGAAATGACAATCATTCCCCCAAAAAATAATCCATTAGTTCGATTTCCACCATACTACATATACATGTTGATTATATCTATTCTACCTAGTAATATGCAATAAAAGTGTTATTTCACGTCAACCTCTATAGGCCTATAATAGTAATGTGACTAAGACATTTTTTTTAAATTAAACTGTTCTTTTACCCATGAAATAATTTATCATGTGATGCCAATTTATCTCCATTCCACAATAAGTTATGTGTTTATCTCATTTCTGACCCTGTGGTTGTCCTATTTTGTCGTTCATGATATTTTTTTCTTTTTCAGTTGCCAGTTGATCAATAGACAATGATCACTATCGTCATGCTCTAAACGAGATAGCATTTAGATCAATCACAAAGCACCAGCCTATCGACATCGCTCGTCAAAAAAAAGTAATCATTTTTTGTCCGATATAAAATAAGTTTTTCAATTCACCTTCGAGATAACTTCGGTTCAACTTTATGACACCGATCGTAAGAGGTACCAAGAAGACCAAAAGGAAAGAACACTTTTGTTGGTCCTCAAAAAAAAAAGGAAATACATACTTGTACCCTCATTCTACGTCATTACCACAGCTTGCTTACTCTCATTTGTGAAGAGGTTTAAAGAAGATCGTTGCACATGGATGGGTTGTTGATAAATGATATATGCACGCACTTGGATATATACTCCAACAATACGTGGTTGTTGGCCAATGAGAAGAGTCGATATATCGAAGACATGGTAGAAATAAAAACAATTTTAAACTGAAAGACAATATCCAGAGACTATCAATTACTCAGACCGCCTTTTTGTTAATTGTATAGAATATCAAGTTGTATGATCATTAGTATTGTAATTGGATCAGATCGCCATCTTAAAAGTTTAATGTCTGCAAACTGTAAAGGTGAATTGAACCAAAACCGACTTATTAAAAACTATGTCCATTAGTTAAACTGTATATCAGAAACTCTTTGGTCAGTCGATTGATTCGAGGATTATAATTTATATTCTACAAAGTTAACATGATGTTGAATTAACACCAGTTAACGTTTGGTTTATATTTATGCGTCGTATATATAATAATGTTCAATTGTGTTTCAAAATAACAAAGACAACGCATTTTACTAATTTGCATTATACAGTATACGTTAACTTGTCTTAGAATTAAGACATCGTTATCAGCGTGACATTTGCAGGCAATTGAAAAAAAAAGATTGACAGTATACTTGATATCCTTATAAATCTGATGAAAATCGAATCAAACTTCCTTCCTGATTTAAGTGTAATATCTACTTTATTTTTTACCTTCCACACATCATATACAAATTATTTCTGTGGTCGTGATCTAATGCAAGTAATTTGCGTCTTGTCTTGTCTCCTATATAGATTGTATGGAACTGATACAAAACAACGATATCTTGCACGGTCAAATGCTTTTAAAAGGCATACCCTTTAAAGCAGAGATGGAATAATTTCAAGCTTCTTATTTAGTATTGATCCCAGGTTCTTTGGAGAGCCTTTTGGAAACTGTTAATTCAAAACAGCAGATATATAATGTATATATATATATATATTCATATAAAATATTATAATGGTTAATGCAGAATTTTGAGGCATTATAGTGGATCAAAGGGACTCTAAGTTTTTGAAGATAATCAAAATGTTTCACTCATGTGTGATTGATTATTTCCTTCAATACTTTTCTACTGTAAAACACATTATCAAGGGGGGCACTAATGCACTTAACCATCATTTTAAGAGGATTCGATATGTGACACAAATTATCACTTTACCCTAGTTACGTTGCATAAAGTGATTGCGCGATGGTGACGTTTTCAGGATGATAACACGTGTAAGCGGTCTACTCCCTAGTCAGGAAAAGACCTTTTTAACATTTCCGCAGCAAAAGCGGGGATGTACCTTTCAATTTTGGGAGAATATTTCATTTCTGTATGTGTGCTCGTTAAGTTTTGCTCAGATGAACATACAGTTAAATATATATAAAGATCAAGTAAGCTATTTAGGTCATTTGAGGTATTGGCTATCAACATTGTCTTACTAAAAATCAAAAACAATTTCACAAACTGAAAACAGATACTCGGCTGCATTCAGAAATAATTGATGAAAGCGTTATAATTGTTTCTCTACACATTTCCCCCCCCCCCCCCCCCCATTGTATCCGTATCTAAGCTTATGATGATTGACATATTATATGTAAGACTTACTGTTTACTGCTCCTTGTTTAAAATAACAAGAATAATCCATACATGAGTGCACCTTGTACGCATTACAGCATTTCAGGAAAATACATTAAAAAATCCTTGATTTTTAAGACGTCATTCCAGATCACTTTTTCTATTTAGACAGGATTATCTGCCTTCGCTTGGTTGCTTTCCTTTATTTTGTATTTTAAGCGACGCCTTGTGGAAAGTATAAGATGACCTTCCGTCGACTATCCACCAGGCGTCGCTTAATATATATTATATATTATAATATAAAATAATGTATTGTATTATCATACAACGTTGCTATCATTCGGAATACTTTTGATCGCAGTCTTTGTTATAAAACGGTATCCGGGAAAAACCCCAGCCATAAGTGTGAACCAATTGAAGATCTGTATCGCAATTAAGGGATTATCTCTATGTTACTTAATTACTTATATATCGGAATACAGGAACTTAATCAGTTAGCTCGGGGTTTTTAAAGCGTTTAAATCAGATTCTATTACGTTTGCAATAGACACTTTTCTTCGGCTAATATAATATGTTTGCGTGTATTATTGTCAAATAGACGAACGCTCTTCAAAAATTAATCAAGCGAGTCGTGAAGTTTTATTTTGTATGTATTTGAAAAAAGTTATAGTTGACAAAAATATATTTATCCTCTTTTCCCTGTCAGGCTCACTGTCAGGTAATTCTGCTGAAATAACTGCAAAGGTGACTTTAAATTGTGTTCATTGAAATCAACTGGCATAACGCATGTCGTTACTCTTTATTTTTAACGTCTGTCGACCAAATTGTCAACTGCAAATGAACAAATTTTCCTAAATATTTCAAGATTGAGTAAACAAAACAGGATCACTGCTTATATGGTCAGAAAATTAAAAAGAAAATGCACAGCAGATTGTTAAATGAGGAGATATAGGTATCACGTGTGAAATGTAAGTGCTCGCAAAGAACAGTTTTGATTATCTAGGTCACCTCATTGAAAATATGCGTATGGTAACTAAGTAAGTCGCGAAAAAGACCTTCAATATTTTGTATCTAGTGGAGTAGATATAATCAACATTTGTTTGTATATTGAAGTAGATTATATACATTGTCACTCGGGATTCGAAACCACTAGGGAAAATAATCAAATCTGGTCGTATGCAGCCTCCATAAAAATGCTTAATCAAAGAAAGAAAACTTAAAGTTTGTCCAAGCTATGTGAATCGATTTTTCCAAATGCTCAGAGGGTCAGAGAGAGAAAAGCACGGAATGACGGTGCAAGCGACAGGAATCGACGCACGGTACTATGTTACATCTATTTGATCCGATATCCTATTATCTATGTGATTTCTAGTTATTTCTCCTTAGAACGATATAGCTTATTCTAAATGGCCTATCAGTTTTCCAACAGGATGATTTCCATTGATATTACTACCATCAGAAAGGCATATTACTATTTTAATATAACAGCAAATATCTTAAATCTACATAATAATTGAAATCTGAATATTATTTAAAAGTCATAGAAAAACAAATATATAAATAAGACTTACCTATACTCCCTACACACACACAAAAGTATATGAGAAACTTCAGGTTCCCCATGATCGACCGTTCGTGTCATCACAACTCCATTTCAGCTTATATTTCCTTATGTTATATTTACTGTTCCGACTTATATCAGGCTATAATTAACCTTTTGACCTTATTAAGTGTATATGTTAATTACTCATCAAATTATACATATATATACGATCATAACGCACGTGATACATCCGTGTACATAGTACTACCATTTAAGGATCCCTGTCTCACTGCACTACAATTTTCGTCTATCCGCAGTAACCTTCCCTTCATACCCATTTGGACATAACTATAGTACATTTCGGCTAGTACACTTCCGTTGATTAGGTAACTCAATCAGTATTATCATAAAATAACAGTCCAAGGTTGGAATCCCGGTCAAGCCCTCTATTTTACAAACGGACCAAGTTTATAAATTATATAATTTTTATATCATATTGAATGTTTTTCATAAAGGTCCCGCAGGGTATGGCTTTTTTCAAAATGTTCTACATTTGTCTCATGATTAAGGTCATGCATTAAAAACAGTTTCCAATACTTATAAAGTCAAGCAATTGTAAATACAAAGTTGATAATAGTTTTGTCGGTATTATAGGTACGGTGTTTTAGTGCGAAGAGTCTGTAGTTATCAGTAGGTTGTTGACAGGCTTGGTGTGTGGTGTCCTCGGTAGGCTATTGTCGGTCGTGGAGCGAGTTGTTCTCGGTAGGTTGTTGTCAGGTATGGGTAGTGGTGTCCTCGGTAGGCTATTGTCGGTCGTGGAGTGTAGTGTCCTTGGTAAGTTGTTGTCAGGCATGGAATGAGGTTTCCTTGGTAGGCTTTTGTCTGGCATTGAGTGAGGTGTTCTTGGTAGGCCTTTATCAGGTATGGAGTGAAGTGTCCTTGGTTGGTGTTTTCAGGCATGTAGTGAGGTGTCCTTGGTAGGCTTTTGTCTGGCGTGGAGTCTATTATCATCGGAAGGCTATTGTCAGGCATGGAGTTGGGTGTCCGCGGTAGGCTATCTCCAGGAGTGGAGTGTGATGTCCTCGGTAGATTGTTGTCACGCGTGTAGTGTCCTGTCCTTGGTAGGTTGTTGTCAGGCGTTGGGTGTGGTATCATCGGTAGGCTGTTGTCAGGCATAGAGTCTGGCATTCTAGGCATGCAGTTTAGTAAGAGTTTCATTAACATCGTTATTTCTCCATGTATGTATTAAGCATCTCATTTTATTTCATTACCTATAAAGTCTTTGAAAATCTGACGTTTTATCACTTACTCTGTTTGTCATTTGCTATTGTTGTTTTTTCTTCATTTGATGTTTCCACATTTCCTGTTGTTGTCTCTTTTATATTCCAATGTCTGCACATATATTGTAATTGTCTTTCATTTATTGTCGGTCTTATTTGTGAGATGTTTGTTGATTTTGTGTTCATCTTTTTAATTGACTTGGCTTACTGGGTTTGTCTAAATTAAACATCTTGTTGTGTGATTTATTTGTAAGACAAGTGGCATTTAGTTTTATTATGATTTGCGAAATCGACTGACTCGTATTTATACGAGATACAGACGAGTCAGTCGATTTCGCTTTGTGATATTTGGGAGTACCGTAAGATGTGCTTTAAATACTCATGGATTACGGATCAAAATACAATGGTAATTTGTTTATTAAATATGTTTTTTATACCGGCATGAAAATATTTGGATTAACATTGAAAACAAACCTCAAGTATTTTACCTGCGTTTCTTTTTACGTTCAATATATCAAACATTCTCCATCTCAATCCTTGTTTCAGATGAAACAAATTCTAATAAAGCTAAAATTAATTTCTCTCACAAATAAATCACATAACAAGATGTGTTAATGGGACCAAACCAGTAAATCAAGTCAATCAGAAAGATGGAAACACAAACTCAAGAACCATCGTAACAATAAGAGCTACAATAACAGCAAATGAGATTTAATTTAATAAATGAAAGACAAGAACAGAAAATAGGGAGACACTAATATAAAAGAAAAACAACAGAAAATGAGGAGACTCCAAATACATGAAAGAAAACAACAGCAAATGAGACACAAAATACGGGAAGGACAAGAAATACATACATATCAACATTCACAGTTATATCAGCAGAAACCGAGACACTTTTGAAGTCTTTAATATCCAACCACACAAAATATCACAAGAGAACCCCTTCCCCACCCCAATTCAATATAGTTTCAAGCAAGCCAGATTCTGAAACCTGAACTTAAAAAAAGCAACAGAGTATAGCATTCCTAGTTATTTATAAAAAAATCGTGCTTCAACAAACGATGGCCTCCCATCTGACTGCGTCATGTGCACGTTTTCCCGTTTTTCCAGCTATAATTTCACTAGTACTTGACACCACTTGATAGGGCCAAATCTGCTATTGACTGTTCAGAAACCTTTGCATTATCTAGATGTATTTAAATAAGGAAATATAAACTGAAATCAAACTGATATATTCGAACTGCCACTTCCGTCCTCGTACGCACAATATCGCTGCCCTCAGTTACATAGTAAAATGCTTTAGTCAACTGAAAACTTATTTTAAGGCACACTAGGATATTTCGGTTTTCCGAAATTATTGTTATTTATAAAGTTACGAGCATATTTAACAAATAAAGGTTTTGGGCGGTACAGACCATAACGCTGCTTTTTCGAAATTTTCAATTCCGGAGATTCCATTCGTTAACATGACAACTGAGCTGTTCGAAACTGTTTCCATTGTTTTCGGCAGCCCTTAAAACCCTAATGTACCAATTTTCTACGAAATCAGAGCCAATAACTCCAAAACCGGAAGTAAGGTTCTGGGGCCATCTTTGACTTCTGGTCGAGATAAAAATAGCCTGTTGTACACATAGACACCCTAATGAGTATGTGTGTGAAGTTTCATGATGATCCGCTCAATAGTTTCTGAGAAAACCTCTGGACAAGTTCATGGCTGAAGAATAAGAAGAAGAAGAAGAATAAGAAGAAAAAGAACACAGAGGAATAAAAACAATAAGTCCCCAAACCATGTTTGGGGGACTTAATAACAACAACAAGAACAGAGGAGATCTTCACATACATTTCTATTTTTCGATACAAGCTTAGAAACAGCGAGAGTCCTCATTTTCAATTTAGCAAAACCTCCCAAATAAATCTCTTACACAAACAAAAATGATAAAATGTAAGGTCTAATTTTTTATTTTCAACGGAATGAAAAGAAAAGACATGGTTAGTATAGAAAAATAGCGTTGTTAATGAAACCCTCGTCAAACTGCCTACCCATGGCACCAGATACAACGACTTACAACAGTCTACCGAGGACACCACACTTCACGCCTAATAACAGCCTACCTAGGACAAAAAACTCCTCGCCTGACAACCGCGTACCGATGACAACTCACTTCACGCCTTACAACAGCCTACCGAGGACACGAAACTCCATGCCTGATTACAGCCTACCGGGGACATCACAGTCAACGCCTGACAACAGCCTCCCGAGGACATCACATTCCACACCTGATTACAGCCTGCCGAGGACACAACACTCAACACCTGACAACAGCGTTCCGAGGACATCTCACTCCATGCATGACAACAGCCTACCGAGGACAACAAACTCCACGCCTGACAACAGCGTACCGATGACAACTCACTTCACGCCTGACAACAGCCTACCGAGGACACGAAACTTCACTCCTAATTACAGTCTACCGAGGACACAACACTCCACACCTGACAACAGCGTACCGAACATCTCACTGCATGCATGACAACAGCCTACCGAGGACACCACAATCACACTCCACGCCTGACAACAGCTTACCGAGGATACCACACTCCGCGCCTGACAACAGCCTACCAATGACAACACATTCTACGCCTGACAACAGCCTACCGATGACACCACACTCCACGCATGACAACAATCAGCCTACCGAAAACAACAAACTCCTTGCCTGACAACAGCCTACCGAAAACAACAAACTCCCTGTCCGACAACAGACTACTGAGAACCTCTGACTCCACACCCGACGAAAGTCTATTGAGGATTCCATTTCAGACAACAGACTACCAAGGACACCATACTGCACCCTTGACAACAGCCTAATAAGGACATCACACTCCACGCCTGACGACAACCTACCGATGAAGCCACACTCGAAGCCCGAAACAGCTTATTAAGGACAACACAGTCCAAGTCTTACAACAGTCTACACGGGACACTAGACACCACGCCAGACGACAGCGTATCGAGGACACCACAATTAACGCATGATAACATCCTACCGAGAATTAAAAACTCCACGCCTGACAACAGCCTATCGATGACCCCATACTCCAAGTCCGGCAAGAGCCTACAGCGTACTTTAAATACCGATAAAAAGCATTATCAACAAAAGTGTTTCGACTGAAAAAAGAGGGACTTGACTGGGGTTCGTACCTTGGACTGTTATATTATCGATATTACTGATTGAGTTACCTAATCAACGGAAGTTATCTAGCCTAAATGTACTATATTTATATCCAAATGGTAGTGAAGTGAAGGTTACTGTGTAAAGGAAAAAATGGCAGTGCTGTGGGACAGGGATTCATAAATGGTAGTGCTATGTATATGGGTGTATCACGTGCGTTATGATCGGATATATATGTAACTTTTGATGAGTAATTGACATATACACTTAATAAGGTCAAAAGGCAATGATTGCCTTCTATAAGTCGACAAAATAAGTATAATATAAGGAAATAAAAACTGAAATAGAGTTGTGATGACACGAACTGTCCATCATGGAGGAGCTGAAATTTCTCATATACTTTTGTATATGTGTAGGGAGTGTAGGTAAGTTTCATTTATATATTTATGTTTTATTTTCATTACTTTCAAAAACTAGTCAGACTTTTATTATTATTTAGAGTAATTATATTTTCCGGCGTTATATAAGAATAGCAATATGCCTTTCTGGTGGTAGTTATATCAATGAAAGTCAATGCTGTGGGTTAATAGGAAAACTGATAGATCATCTAGAATAAGCTATATATTCAGAAAG